TTATAATTTGGTTAATACTATAAAATTATATATATATTTAATAAAATTATATATAATAAAATTATATATATATCAGTATTTTTGTAGGTGGATGAAAAAAATACTGTAAGCGGATGATCTCACCCGCACGAAAGTTTTGGTTATGAGATATCATCTTTACTTTTCGTCGAAATAAATTTCCCTTGGTATCCTAATATTGTACATTGCACTCGATAGAGAGAGAGAGAGAGAGAGAGAGATGTTAACTTACTCAGAGAGATTGTTATAATTTGGTTAATACTATAAAATTCTCTCTCGCAGACTTACCCTACATGTATTCAACTGTTTACATGATGTCGATACATATAGAGCTCCAATAACTGTGCTCAAATACATAGATTTTAATTGGCGCGAAAGCGACGAGATCAAGGATGAAGAAAGAACCGCGTTGTGTAAATCGCGAAAGGTCTGCACTTTGCGCACGAAGCGCACGCAGAAAGGTGTCATTTATTATGGTGCTTTTGAAAGCTGCGATTCACTCCATATTCATTCAGAGAGTTGGCTCTTTCCCTTTGATCCTACATTTGGAGATTTCGCACAAAAGCACGGTAAATCCTGAAGCGAACCAACTACGGTACAAGTGCATGAATCAAAGTCGATTCCTTGCGCAGCTTATAATAATATGCCCTGAGTCATTCATGATCAGCATTCTTTCAAAAATAAATCATGCGTAGTCTCTGAATGCATAATAATCATATATTATAAAAATGTGTGCACAGCTAGAAATTGAGATTTTACAGAATTATATACGTACGTATTTAAAAAATTACGTGGAAAATGTTCATTTTGCTTAATACTAAAACAGCATAAGCACTTTAAAGTTTTATTACTACATCACGATTTTCTTTCATCTATTTCTATTTATCGAACAAGAAACACTATATTTTTTCTATTCTTTTATCTTGTTCATTTTTATTAACAAAAATTTAATATGTCTTATTCGATGAATATAAAGTTAATTACGCCCGAAAACAAAGGAAAGGCACAGCAGTTTGCCATTTCACGGTAACCAGCTTTATTATCCTATCCAACTGATGAAGTCCGAAATTAAGCAGAAGCTGTGAACACCTAGACAAACGTTCGTAGCAGTTAAAAAAACACTTGTTTGCTAGAGTTGAATAGAATTGTAATTCCGGCAGCAGACATCGTTCTACAGCATTGACCATAAATCCGTGGGAGCACTTCGAAGGAACCGTGCAGGCGACAAACTGAATATAAAAATGACATTGCCAACCGGTAGACAAATATTTTGTTGACGGTTCGCTCGTCCAGGCCAGTTTATCGGACGACTGCTGGTCATTCGCGAAAAAAGAATAGCCCGCCGCGTCATTAAAACGTGAACGCGCGATCGTAATCACGAGTGATGAATTCCGTACGTATCCGCGATTCGTTACACCGCATCGAACACATCGTTTGGCTGCGGACCTAACAGCAACACGCGAAACCTTTAAAGCTGCGCACTTTCGCGTAAATCGTTCCCGAAACTGGCTGTCGAAACAGTTACACGATCTCCTTCCAGCGAAATCGTTTCTACGTGTGCAATTCGCGCAATATTCTGGAGTTCGAACAGAAAGTAGAGTGGGGATTGTGGTGAACCGTGGCGCAGTGGGTCTCACTGCGAGGTGCTGGTTGTTAATTTAAACTTTCCACGTTGAAAACACAGCAATTCTGTTATCGAGGAGTTTCGCTCGAACCACTGCTTCCTACCGACTTCCGTGTCTCTTTTCATCTTCTCCTTTAGTTCTGCGCGCGGTCGAATTGCCACTACGTCCTTGCTAATGGCTAGCGTGAACCACCAATTAGCTGATTTACAAGATCCTCTGTTCGAACTAACGGTGTTATTATTCCCCGTTGTTGTCGCTGGCGTTTAAACTTCGACTCCGTTACAGGAAAAACAGTCGAAATACGCGATCCCTAATCTAATTCATTTGCCGCCGATTTCAATGATTTTTTCTTTAGTTACGAACTTCGTGCAATTTTTTACTGTGTTTCTTTTAACACGTTCCGTGCTGAGCTTTTTTTACTCGAATCTTCACACTTTGATATTTTACTAAAACTTGATGTATTACGTGCAATTATTAATTCTCGTACACATAACAACGTAACAAAAACTTATCAACGCCCATTCTTGCGGTGGAAATTGATTCTTCGGTTCTAAATTTCTTGTAAACAATTTGTTCAGTTCACTAAGTAAACATGCAAGCGTGTACCATCGATGGTACACGTGGCACGGAACGTGTTAAGGAGATAATTTTTTTAAAAATTTTGTAGCCGTGTCTTTTGATATACAAGAAAAGGAAATCTAATATAAAATCGATGTTATATAAACTTCATTTTCAATGCGAGATAAAATGAATCCTGAAAAGACGATCATTTGAATTTCAGTAAAAAATGAAACAATTCGAAAACATCACTTTGATCGTCTTTTATACGAATATCGACTTTCTTCCTACATTGTATCATCGATGGTAATCTACAGGGTGACAAAAATGTCAAATGAATCCCTGAGATCATTTCTTATACCTTATTCCTTGATTAACTATTAACTACTTTGATTATTAGCGATTATTCAAGTAATTCATACAAGGTGTTCCAAAATTATGGTATTTCCGGGAAATGAGGGATTCTTGAGGTCATTCGAAGTAACTTCTTCCTTTACAATAATCTTCTCTGAGGCATCGTTCACGAGTAATTAACGAAAAACAGTGACCAATGCCAGGCTGAGTTCAGCTGACGCGACGCAGCACAGCCAATGAGCGTTCGTTGGCTGACTGACGCCGCGCTTAAAGTGTTAAGATAATAATTTTGTAACAATCGTATTTGAAGAATTTGTTAAATTGAATTATGTATGTTAAGTATGATTATTTATTTAGGTTATGACTTAATACATACATGACATCTACCTCTAAAATCAATATTTGTCACGTATTCTTTCGATAGGAAACTGATTATGTAAAATAGTATTATTATTATATTATTAGTATTATAATAATATTATTATATATTATTATATTATTATTATGTAAAATAGGAAACTGATTAAGGGAAATGATATAGGAAAATTATGGGAAACTCATATAGGAAACTGATTATGTAAAATAGTATTATTATTATATTATTAGTATTATTATAATATTATTATATTATTATATTATTATATTATTATTATGTAAAACAATATTCAAAACTTATCAAACACCTTCCACAGTGACGGCTGTGAATAAAAGCATCTTTTCTATATTATACAATTCAGATTCTTAAATTCAGTTACACATGAAGACAGTAGAAAAACTCGCTAATTAGAATAATACACTAAAAGTAGCAATTAACATGTAATTATCCCTGGGTACCATCGCCAGATCGACGCTCAAAAATCCCCGGTTCAATTCCCTGGTAAATTTCAAATTGTCCGCGCACGCACGCGGGCGTCGATCTCATTAATATTTTTCTAATTACTCGTTTTAGGGCCGTATTCTCCGTAAAATGCTTCGCGCATCGTTTCATTTCGCATTAATTTACCGAGCGGTGCGGTGCCCGCCGCGGGGGCGGGTGGCGGGAGCGGAGGAATCGGTGGAAAACGAACGCGTAGTCAGTCGATTCGAAACAAAAGCGCGAAAAATGATTTCAAGCATTGTCGGCTCCCAAATACGGCGCAATTGATGTCTATCAGGAACAACACGCGTTTTAATGATGCATAGACCGATGATACAGGTTGATTCAGGGTGCCGGCTGGTGAGCGGGAGATGCGCGATGGTCCGATCACCGTGAGCGCTTCGTTACCTCAGCGTTTGCGTTTCCTGTCGAAGCCAAAAACCACCGTCAACTGGCTGATCTCTCTCTCTCTCTCTCTCTCTCTCTCTCTCTCTCTCTCTCACTCTCTCTCTCTCTCTGAACGGCTCTCCTCTCCTCTCGTTCCCAACGCGTCGGCCACCCATCCAGCACATTCCAGTTTCAATGGCAGATAAAATAGCGCGGTGTCCACCCTCCGCCAACAGCGGCAACGCTACCATTCCCACCCTCCGACCCCTGTCGCAGCCGGTCAATAGTGGATGACGTGTACACCACCAACGTGCCAGTGGCATTTTTAACGGTTATATACGTCCACCGTCCTTTCCACCCCTCTGTTTTGCTACCTTGGCTACCGCTCGCTACCCTCCGTCCATCTCGCAGAACTCCCCAGACCGTTCTTGACGGTCATTTCGCTTTCTAGCTCACCCACCCCTCCCCCGCTCCATCACCTCTTCGTTCTGTCTTCCCATTTCCAGCGTTCGCATTCACTTTCCCCATTGTTCTTTTTGCTGTCTTCGTATTCTCCTCCGGCGCGCAGCCCTTTCTCATCGCGCTCTTCTCGATCCCCGCCGCGTTTTCTCTACCGCCGACTACTCCTCTTACCGGCTGTCTTGGCTTACCTTCATTTTCGCTGGCCGCACCAGCTTCGCCGCGACGCTCCAGGTAACCTTTCATTGTTCCTGTCGCCTCCTGTTTGACATTTTAATTTCGTTGCTTCTCTTAGATTTTAATTAATTTTCACGAACACCCTGTGGCCGTGATTCCCTCGCCGACGCTATCGAGTCTCCCAGATAAAGCTTTCCCGCGTTCCGCTTCATTTTGCAGGATTAGAATCCGCCAGATTCTCAAGGCAGGTTTGGCCGACGGAACGTTGGGAGGGACCCTTTGATCCCGGCGGCACGAGCTGATCTAAATATCTTTTATTGCGAGTGGGGTATCACACTGCGATGAAAAGATTATGTTCGGTATCGGGGATACCGATTCTCGTTTGTCGTCTTTAATCTCTTGTTCGTGCAACCTGGATGTTTTCTTGTGCCCTGCGATTGGTAAATTGCAAATTTGAGAGATTCGTGAAACGGAGGGAAAACTGCAGTTGCTCGAACAAAACCAGAAACATGGATCGTTCGAGAAGAGACTGTTCGGAATGTAGACGTTTCGAACGTGTGTTGCAGGTGATGAGAAGGATCAAAGAAGGCTACAGGCTAGACAGGCCAGAACACTGTAAGAGAGAGCTGTACAACATCTTGTATTATTGCTGGGACAAGGACCCAGCTTGCAGGCCCTCCTATGGGGAACTGGTGGGACTGACAGAGGGCCTCTTACTCGACGAAACGGACTACATCGAATTGGACAGGTTCCCCGACCATTCGTATTACAACGTGCTCAATCTCAACGGTGAAAAATTGTGAACGACACAGCTGAACTATACGATTTTCGTTCCTGCTGTGAGAAGAACAAAGTGCGTAAGCAAAAGTTTCGAAAGCATCGACCGATGGTTCTTGTGGAATTGACGTGGCGTCTGTTGCGAGTCGAGCCAAATAATTAATACTCTTGGTGATCCTAAGATAGATTAGACTTTGTAATCGTAGAATTAACGGGTACGTAGATCCGATCGTTAAGGGCCAAACATTGGCCCAGGTTCGCCGTGATTAATATACAGGGTGTCCCAGGTTTTAATGTTCAAACTTTGTCAGTGTATTCTATGGCACAAAGTGAGAACAAAATGTTATGTAAACATAGGTCATACAGAGCTTTATTAACCCGAGAAAGATAACCTACGTTGCAGAGGCGCCTGCGAAGACTGTTGATTTTTGTTAATTTTTCATAGAGGTCTAGTGATTTAAGTTTAAAATTACTTAAAATATAAAAAAATATAATATAAATGCATTTTATTTTTACAATAATGCCAAACCTTTAAAATGACTAGATTAACTTAAATAAATATCCATTGTTAGTATAAAATTGACGCCTTAGAAAAGCATGCGCCTCTGAAGCGTATGGTTATCTTTTACGTACGTTGTCATATGGTTATCTTTCTAGGGTTAA